TTATTAAGTCTTTTAAGAACGACTTTTATTGGTCCAGTACGTATCCATTGTTCGGCATCTTGATCCCAATTCCAACGCGGGCCTTCAATCCAAATTGCTGTATAAATTGTGCTAAACGCGCCACTTTTGTTTAAATTTTCGACAAAGTCAAATTGTTCAAAACCAATATATTCTAAATAATCGATGCTTTCGGTTGCATTCAATTGGGTATATTTAATAAAATTATCGAAATATTTATTTTCGCTTGTCCAATTTCTAAAATTTTCTTTAAAGGCATTAGTTTCACAAACTTTACACCATCTTGTATTTTTTCGTTCACTTCCACAATCTAAGCAATTTTTGAGGTTCAAACTTGATTTTGTCGTTTCCTCGTCAGTTGTATTAAGATACATAATTTATCCTGTGACATTTTATGTAAAAGCCTCGTCAGTAAGGATAAATTTTATTTTGATTCAGGGTTATTCGGATTACAGTTTCATAATTCAAATATTCGTGTCATTTTTTTTTAATCAACATAATAAAATGCAATGCTGATTATAATGCCAGAACTTTGTCATTTGTTAAAATGAGTTTTGCCAGGCAACTATAATGAATGCTGTTACGGAATATATATTGTGTGTAACCACTTGAGCGTACTTAACTTTTTTTTTAAAAAAAGGAAATAAAAGAAAAAACTTACAAAATTGATAAAGCGAGTTACAAAATTATTGAGGACTGGTGATATCCAACTTTTTTTTTTTTTTTTTAAAAAAAAAAAAGAAGAATTTCATACATTTAAATTACATTTTTTCGAGCTCGATTAAACTTTATTATTAATAATAATTTAATTAATCGACATAATATTAACCGTATTTATCTTTACTATATAATAAAAGGAGTAGTTTTATAATAACAATGAAATGTTAAAACCATTTAAATAATCAAAACTAGCATTTAAAAAATGGATTATTATTTACAAATACAAATTGTTCAATTGATAAAATTATTTTTCCAATTATCATAATAAAACTGTAAATAGAAATAATGGAAACGAACTATGAAACCAGAAAAATAAAATTGTGGTCTAATATCGTTAACGAGGATTGAAAATAAAATTCTATTTTCATGGCAGTCAAAATTTTTTCTTTAAATAGAACTTATATAGCTAGAATGTCTTTAGAAAAGGAAGAAACTAATTAATCTTTCATAACATATATAAGGCAATAAGTACATAATTCGTACAGCTCGTGAAACCGATGGATGCTACTATATTAGTGTAATTTATAATTTTGTTTATTTATTATAAGATAGTTCAAAACATAAACAAAATATTTTAAATGACGCACTGGCATAAATGTATAAATGCCCCATGAATTATTTATTGATTATTTCAATTCGAAATCTTAAAAATATCATGAACCAATGGAATATATGTATATAAGATTTTTTTATTTTTTATGTTTATTTGTAATTAACGATGTTTAGCCCAAGAGAATTTTTAAGGGATTATTAAAAAATTAATTCATTAAAAGCTGCCAATAAGAACAATAAAAGGTTATAATCATAAAAGCAACAAAATATTTTTACCGTAATTTTTATAATAAATTACGTACATATATATTGATTAACATATCGTGAATGTTATTCCACAAAAAGTCAACAACTCCTTCGAGGTTTAGGCACTACTTCTGACTATTCTTATGGTTTTTCGATGTTTGTTTATCATCGGGCGTATGAAATTGACAAAATCAATCACATGGATAGTTTTTTCTATAACCCTTAAATCTTAAATTAAATCAATGAAAATTATTATTATTAATAAGTCATTTCCGATCCGGAAGAATTCTCGAGGAGTTGCAATAAGATTCTCGTCATTAGACTTCTTAATAAATTAATAAATGGAGATGCTACAGACGGTTAATTGAAATTTTGTAATAAATACTTCTGTATGATATTTAACTCGGTCAAATTTGATTAGTACATTAAAAACCAAAAATTATTAAATTCGTCGTTGCTTTTTTTTTTGAAATTTTTTACATAAATATATAATGAATAACCTCTTAATAAGGTTTTACAGAGTGTTGGGTCACTATTTTTAATTTCTAAATGGTTAACGCAATGGTCCATTTTCACTCTTTGATCTTGTTGTATTGTGAAAAATACATTGCACCAGTTTTTTTTTTGCTGACAAAAAATTTTAATCGATCTGTTATCTCTCACAAATAAATAATAATGTCCTATAAAAAAAATCCTTGAATTTATAATATGGCGTGATATGCAAAATTATACTCGTAAAATGATAATTATAAATATCAAAAAATAATTATTTATAATATATAAAACTATGGCTGATTTTCCCCTAACTTTTTTCTACCATCAAACCTAAATTCAAAATTATATTTTGTAGAGCTTGAAGAGAAAGTAAAAGAACACATACTAAAGTTTTAATCAATTCACCCTTTACAATTTCCATAAAACATATATTCATAAATATGTGGTACTACGTCTGATTTATTAAACCAATAACTTGTATTGATATACTTTACTATTTGTTCATTATATAAAATATGAATTTCATCTCCTTTCAAATTGGAAAATTTGCTCAATTTTTATAATCAGGTTTTGAATCTGAATTTGGTAAAGTGTGTCGCGCAATAACTCAAATGAGTTATTTAATTTTGACATCTTAAAAAATTTATTTATGGATTGATCAAATAATTCATGAAGTTCATTATTTTCTTTTTTTACTGAAATGGATTATAGCTATATCAAGAATTTCTATATTAAGATCAAGTTTTTCTTTATATTCCTCAACAACATTCATACATTCTTGATCAAAATTTCCCAATGTAATACTTGTTTTGGATAATAACGATCTTCAGCCTTAGAAGAGCGTGGTGTACTTTTTTTTTTTGGTTGGTTTTGATATTGATAATCTATTGAAAGTAATTATTTTTTGAAAATATCTCTAAGTTTTGACTCCGACATTAAAAAAAAATGATGAGAAATTTCGGAACATGACATAAAATCTTTATATACTTTTTATGAATTAAATTTTTGTAGATGAAGGAAAAGTTTACAGTATATTATTGTCTTATGATCATATTTTTTTTGTAGTATCAAAAAATCGTCAGAATATAAATGAAAGAACTAGTTCTTGGAATTAATCAAAGGTGCAGATTCCTTGATAATTATTTATGCTGAAGTTTCGCCTACATGAATCCGATAAGCAAACCTATTTACATATTTTAAAAAATTTAATTTATCCTTAAGCCATGCAACTTCACGTCACCCGGCCGGGTCACTTTTTCAAATTTTAACAAAAAAAAGTTTATATAAAAAAAAGTTATCATGTGACTATAAAATGTAATTTTATTGGTAGATTAAAGCTTTATTGTATTATCGTTATGTATAATTCCTTCCTTACAATACATTAGTTCCACAAGCGAATACATTGTGCTGAAATATTTTCTCCAATTAATGTTTTTGATGGGCTAAAATTCACTTCAAAATCTGCTTCTCACCAGTCAGTTGATAATATAGAATCAATATACTTCCAAAAAAATCTTTTAATTTTGCTTTTTTCTCAACATGTAAACCTTCTCAATCCTTCAAAACTTTATAATTGTAACTTATTTTTATATGTGTAATAGGCATTTTGACGGAGTTAAGATGATTTTGAAATGAAATGTGATTGTCGTATGATTAAGCCGGGCAAAGAAAAATTTTAAATTTTCAAAATTTTAAAATTGACACGGACTCGGGGGTTTTTCATATATGTAAGTTTTTTATATGATGTATCACACAAATAAATCTTATATTACACAAATAAAGATAAATCTAAACAAAATCTGATATGCCGATTCTATTATGTAAGATCACATGATAAAAATTTTACTATACTGTATAAAAAAAATCCCCGAATTTTCGCAAACTGACACGGCCGGGTCACAGAATCTGAAAATTTACTTTGCACGGCCTTGTTAAAGATTCAACAATCAGATGGCATAATATTTATATATAATCATTTTTTATTAATAAAAATTTTCATTAATAAACCCCGGGTCTTCCGGGTCGATTTTAAATTTCAATGTACGTGAACCGAAAAATCGAAGTTGTATGGCCTTAGTCCAAATAATGCTAAAATTCGTTAATGAGATAAAAAAATGAATGAAATATGCAGGGTGAAATATAAAATAAAGAATGATTTTATTAATGACCTTTGAAATTCATTCTTGAAAATTTGTGATACGCTTCCTTTCTTTATCTTTGGTTCGATTTTAAATTCATAATATCGGGATCATGTTATCTTCGTTTGTAAAAATCAAATTTCTATTCCTTTTTCAGAAATTCAATGAAATTCAATGATTCATTGATTCGGAATTTTTCGATTTGTATTATAATTGTTCTGACAAAATAAACAAAAGAAATGTCAAATCGAGTTATGCAAGGAGGTATCTATTATCAGATCACTTAAGGGCGAATGAGCCGACGGAAAGAACGTTGGTTAATATATTACCTTCCAACTCTTTACGGCAATTTTGTTACTTTTTTTTTTTTAAATATAGTTCATTTTTTGTTTTACACGAGACTCGTGTCAAAATAAAAGTTATACTTGGTGATTGCGTGCTGATCATGTTTATTATTACGTGTAACTATAATTAACCATATATATACACTATTTTTTTTTTTAAAATAAAATAATTATATACATTTTATTTTACGAGAGGATTTTACGAGGATTTCTAGGTTGTAATGATGATTTGGATGGTTTGTGTGAAATACAAAAAAAAAAAAAATTTTGATTATATCATAAGAAAAAAGTGCTTCGATTAGGGTTTATGAACTACCTTAAATTGATAATGTACAGTACAAGTATAACTTTTCAAAAAGGAACAACTTTCATGGATAAAAAGCGCGCTTATTTCAATAGATATTGGGTATTCTTGAAATTATGTTAAATTTATAGATATTCACTGCCTTTTAATTTATGATTAAAATGTTAATTTGAGTTCCAATTGGTTAGATATGTTACATTGTTTTCCCATCAAAAAAGAGAACGATGTACTAAAAACAATATTTTCATGGAGAATGATTATATTATATAGAAAATTTGATTTATATTAAATCAAATTATTTATGGTACGCGAACGAGAACAATTTCAAAACTCATATCATAAGATCTTGATCAAACATTAACGGATATCACTATTTATTAAAATATGTATAATGTAGTTACAATATACCGCGAAAAAAACATGAACATGATAAAGTATAAAATGCGTACATATTATATAAACATTCTATAATTGATGAGAAGGAATGAAAATAAAAGATAATGAATTGCAAAGGGTGAAAATAGTATAACGAATAGAATGATTATGATAGTTAACTTTCCCCCTTTAAAAATTAGGAAACCATTATTATTTTGTTCGTTTTTAATCATCATGTAACGATCCATGAGATCCGAAACCAAGTGATCCTTGTCGGTAAGGATCAAACACTTATTTCTCTTTTCGAGTTCCAATGATTCTTCCGTAAAACCCCCCTTTGAAACGACTATGATCTTCAGCAAATTGGGATTTTCAGGCATGACCTCATTCAGTTCTTTAACGATATCGATGCTTACTTTCTCGCTCGTATCGATGCATTTGATGATAAATGGCATGTCTTTGTAATTTCCAGCGAGATTAGCTCCTTTGAGATCGACGTTTCTCGACCATGAAAACTTATCATTTGTAACTTTAATAAATGTGATTTTGCAACCTGTCTCTTCATTATTCTGAAGTATATATAAAATGTTGATTCGAAAAGTTATAAAAAATAAATAAATAAAAAGATATCTAAAGTGCTCGATGGAAACGAACGCTGTTTAATCGATAGGCACACCTGTGAAATTAACATCAATAGACTACTTACCGTCATTTTTGAAAATTTTCAGAAGTAATTTTGAATAAATTTCAGGGAGAAAGAAAAGAGACAATAAATTTTTTTTTTTTTGTTTTTGTTTTTGTTATTTATTGATCAATTACATTACAATTACTCATTTTGCAAATTGTGCACCTGATTGTATTGTAATTTGGTATGTTGGATTTCCTTATTTATATAGCGATCGATCGACATAACAATAAGAAACGACATCATCAAATGGAAAGTGTGAAATGTCACAATGATGTCATCTCTGGCCCTAAATGTAGGATACTTATGTAAATTGTAAATGAAAGCAACTTGAAAATTTTTATCGAAAATCCAGATTTAACTGCAATATCAACAATTAACAACTTGGAACTTTTTTCTAGATAAAGTTGATGTGTAACGTGATTTTAGACCCTAAAAAACATTAAAAATGGTACATTTGATTTAAGCGAATATAAAGACAATCAACGAGGCCAGTTCATATATAGTGTAACTCAAGAATCGACGGAAATCCAGTTAATGAATATTATCTTGTAATTATTTATGGTTAACATGTTCTTTTGAAAGGGATATTTCAATAATAGTACTAACGAACAATAATTAACTAATTATTTTACAGGTATGTTGTAGGCTAAAGGGAATACTCAGCAGTATCGTTCTTTTAGAATTGTACTTTCTTTGAACGACCTTGGTTGGACGGCCAGTGTACCAACCCTATAAGTTATCATCCTTGATAAGTACTACGCCAAATTTCCGTTCACATGTTATCATCTAACTCGAAACTACAGGCCCCGTTGGTTTTGAGCCTTGGAACTTGTGATTTGTTTGACTAGTGCAGGATAACTAAAGACAAGGAAACTTCAAAAAGAGGAAGGTGCGACAACAAATGAATCATCTTGAAATAAATTATCATGATAGTTATATTACATAGGTGGACCGCAATTTGCCTGGATAAATATTTTTATAGAGGATATGACATTTCAAATCCGTGGTATAATAATCGAGTTCGGAACTATTACGATCAAGTAAAATGATTCCGACGTTATTGGTTTAAAGAAGTCATTACAACTTACTTGGTACTGCAATCAACAGATTTTCACAAAAAAATCGTGTCTTCAAATATCGTATTAAATAATTCAGCTGAACAAAGCAAATATTGATAAAAATATTCGCAATGTAAAGGATAGCTGCGTTTTTGGATTCAGTTTTGGACCCGATTGTTATCTCGTGAATAAATTTTTTTATTTTCGTATAATGTAAAAAAAAATTATAAACATTTTCTTAATGTACTTGTATTCCCTAACAAGTATGTGCGTGATTGCTCGTTCCAGAACTTTACTAATACTAGTACTTTAAAAAAATTATTTGTGGCAGCGGGTTTCGATGTAAAATGTCTCGTATCACATTTAACTGACTGTGTATGTGATTTCTTGTTTGGAACTAGTTTATTTTTTTATTTTAAAATATGACAAGCTTTTCCACATTTTGAGTGGAATAAAATTCTTTACATACATATTTCATCCTCATTAAATTAAATTCAAGATGCAATTTATGATATAGATATAAGAATCAACAATTGTCATGTTAATTATTGTAATAATCATCTCACCAATCGAAATGAAGCTAAATAAAATAAGTAAATAAATAGTTGGATAATTACCACATGTTAAATCTAAATTTTGAAGATTTTGATAGTATGAATAAATTGTTTGATAATTAAATTACAATATAAAATAACTTAAATAACTTGCTACCTATTTTCTTAATATTTCAAAAAATTAATTATTAAAGAAATAATGTTTGATTGGACAAATAAATAATTATTATTTAATTCTTTTTAATGTAGCATCGGATATTGGTTCTAATATGATTATTTGTTTTACAAGAAACCATCCAATCCTCCTTTTAATGTTTCGATAATAAAGTTAACGAATTATAATATTTTTTAAATAATTATGGTAACTAAATAACTATAACATGGTTCAAATGTGTCTTATAATTTTTTTAACGAGGAAATGTTTCTTATCATCTGATAACGGTTCTTAATTTATCTTAAATTTTCTCTTGTAAACAATTTTTTAGTACAGAATATTCTCAGCCAATTGTCAAATAAAACTTCATAATTGTCTTTTGTAGATCTTTTACTTTTATTGTATAAATATCCATACTAAAATAGTTAAAGAAAATGGCAGGAATAGTAAGAAATAACTTTTTTGCTAATTTATTTCTATACTAACAAAATTTCACTAAGATTTTTACAGTTGTAATAAGGAAAAAGTTCATTTACAACTTAAATGAAACTTC